TAGGGTTTAGGTTCTAGGGTTTAGGGTCTAGGGTTTAGGGTTTATAAGGCTTTAGGCTTCAGGGCTTTTTGGGGTCTAGGGTTGAGTATTTTGCGGTTTAGGCCTGGGTTCGGGTTTTCAGGGTTGGGGTTCTGGGTTTTGGGCTTGGATTGTTTGAGCCATTTTGGAGAATAAGCGTTGTCGTATTTGGCGGTTTTGTCTTATTAATTGGGCGTTGGGCCGTCATTTACATCTTTCTAGCTCCGGAAATGGTTGTAGATACATTCCTGGATAAGAATAATTTCCCAAAATCAGGTGGGAATTACACTTCTTATCCCTCCCAATCACAGCTTCACGTGTAACTTTTCCCTAAACCCTACACCTCCAAGTGTTCCAGGGCTCGGGGTCTAGGGTCTCTAGTATTGGGCTTAGGGTTTCAGGCTTTGGGTTGGTGTGGGGTGCAGGCTTATGGGGTTTACCCAAGGGCTCCAATGTAGTTCCTTTTGGGGTTTGTTTTGTTTTTGGGGTAAGGGGTTAGAAGAAACTACACCAAAAGGAGTTACATAGGAGGGTCAGGGTATAGATTTAATCAGGCCTAGGGTTTATGGGTTGTTGGATGAGCTGAGGATGGCAACATCTACGCGTTAATGAGAATAGTAAGAATAAGACTCATAGTAATACGAAAAATCAGACTATAATGGTAATAGTAGTATTACTAACAATAAGAATAGTAATTATAAGCATGTTCTATATAGTCCTTCAGACAGTCCATAGAATTACCCTGGTCAGGATGTAACTTCTTGTTACATTATCCCAAACCCCGACTGTAAACCCTAAACCCCAAACCCTAAACCCTAAACCCCGAACCCTCAACCCCTTACCTAAGCCCTATCCAAATACGTAGCTAGAGTGGGTGTCATTCGCCCCGCAGTTTGGAGCTTGGGGTTCAGTGTCTGGTCCAGCGCTTCGGATTTATTCAAGCTTTAGAGGGCTTATCTAGGCCCTTCTTCCTTAGGGTTTTTGGGTTTTAGGGTTTAGGGCTTTGGGTTTAGGATTGCCCAGACCCCAAAAGTAAGCAAAATAATAGCCCAAAACCTCTTTAAAACATCACAAAAAACAGTTATTCTACATTTTTTGGAAGTTCAGGTAGCCGTTTTTGGGCACCTAGCTTGTGGCCAGTAGCTTCTCTATACAAGCTGGGTACCCTACAAAAGGGGGAAATAGTGCCAGGGTCTTCTCCAAAGAAGGGACAAGGGCACAGGGTCTGGGTACAGTTGGAGGTTTGGGATTCGAGTTTGGGGCCCGGAGTCTTCTTGAAGAAAACTGGCGGCAGCCTTATGAGGGAGCTTCGCAGTATTCAGGGGCTTTGGGTTTAGCGCGCATGAGGATCTACACCCTTTACAACCTAACCGTAGACCCAAAACTGTGCCCAGAGTGCGGAGTTCTCTTTTCATGTCCACGCTTATGGGCTGGATAGGTGTCACGTGAGGTGATGAAAGAGGTCAATCTTAATGATTCTTTAGGGTCTCTGATTTCACCAACGTGCATATCTTGGCCCACGGCTTTCAAAATGCCCTCTCTATCCTTAGGGTTTCCAAACAGCCTGTAGACTTGGAGCCCCAGGAATTCTACAGACTCCGCACACGGGACCTAATCCCAAGCCTCAGGGCAAATCCTCCAAATCAGACCTTTGTTCCTGGCCCGGAAGGCTGGAAAAGCCTGCGTCTCTGAGAGATGCTGTTAGCTTCAGCTCCTCCTTTGTTAGTAGTAAGGAAAAATCCTGACCCCTGCAAACGATGCTTAGGGTTTAGGTTTACGGTTTAGGGTTTGGCAATGGGGTGAAGTCCTGCCTACCGTGTAAAGGATGCCGCAGGGGACGAGGCTTCAGGTCTGGCTTGGGGGGGGACCAATGTTAGGGATCCTTTGGACTTTTTGGGGGCATGGGTTTCCTAAAGGGTTTAGAGTTTAGGGTAATGTGAGCTGCATTGTTGCATTCTACATCTTATTCTGCTCCTTTACGTTTTGCAACTTGGGGGGCCATACATCGAAAGTCCTACCCCATATGGGGATAAGATAATGTAGAAGCCTGAAGAGCTATCAATAATGTCATGTGGTACTGGATTCCTTTTACGGTTGTGGCATAGAATACCAGGAAAAGACCTCACTATGACATTGGTAGTTATTCAGCAAGGATCAGAAAGGAATGATATGAACATCTTGGGTGTTGGGTTGCGCTTCAGGGTTTAGGGTTTACAGCCATCTGGGCCGGTTAGACTTCCTGGTGCTGAAGGGGGAAGGTTGGACACCTCAAGTGATATCCATAGAATCCCCATTTACAGTATATAGTCCCCCTTAAGTAGATAGAATATGGCTCTGGGTATGTTATAATACAATCCGCATATACCCGATATTCTATCTACTTAAGGGTGGCCATACCCCCTAAACCCTAATCCCTAAACCCTGATCCCTAAACCTTAAACCCTATATTCTATCTACTTAAGGGGGACTGTAGCCCTATAAGCGTCCCTAGCTTCACACCCCAACTGACCCTGAACTTAGGTCGGTGGACCCCCCACCCAGTAATAGTGACCATAGGTGATAAGAGGGATTATTTTAGGGTCCTCTCATTTTCCTAGTATACCACTATTACAGGGTGGGGGGTCCTCCTAACCCTAAATAAACCCTAAGCCCTTAACCCTAAAACCTGGAGAAGCTGCAGCAGGGTTTGCCAGGGTTTGCCACTCATGTGCAAACTATGTACAGTTGCCGTTTCACCACACAAGAAAAACATGAGTGCCATGTGACACTTGATTTAGTGCTCAAGGGAATTTTAGGGTTTAGGGCTGGCTGACCTTAACAACTTTGTGCCTAAAGTTATGTAACTCATCTTCAAGGTAAGGGCCCTAAGTAGTATCCATAGAGGGGGTACCGCCCTCTCAGTATACTAGTAGAGGAACCATACTTTGTGCTAGATGGAATGGGCTAGGGCGTCCACCCACCAACAGTGGTATAGTAGGCGAACTCAAGGAATCCCATACCCCAAGCCCTAAACCCTCACAAGTTCTAAACCCCAAGGCCGAAAGGACGGCTGTGTGCCGGCATTGCTGTCATAGCTGGTTCAAAGACCTTGGAATTTTAGTCTAGGGTTTAGGGCTTGGGGTCAGGAATGCTAGGACATTTTGAAATTTGGGTTGAGGGTTGAGGGTTTCTTAATAGAAAAGAGCACGGGAAATACAATGAGCAGTTGGAGTTTTAGGGACATGTGGGGTCGAGGGTTTAGGGTTAAATTGCCTCTTAGTAGGGAATGAAGGAATGGAAAAGACATTACCGTAGAAGCCAATGCATCAAAGGGGATATTCCATAGGCGCTGCTCTAAGGGCAAGTCCTCCATTCCTCGCGAACCAGAGGTAGGTCATGAAATGCAAGGAGATCCCTCTCAAGGGGATGCGGGGGTTACCTGTCCCTAGGGACTCCGCAGGAGTTGTGTAGGATTTAGGGATTACTTGGAGGGTCATGGGCACTTAGTATTAGTGTTCCATGTTTGGGGTCCCTCTGATTCAATCTGATAGGGGCTGTAAGATTTGGGGTTCTAGGGCTTAGGGTTTAGCGTTTAGGGCCCCTTTTGTTTTTGGAGCCCGCCCCTCAAGTTGTACGAGACTCTGGAAACCCTCCACTCCGTTCGTGGGTTCAAGTCGGTAAACCAAAGCTCTGATGCATTCAATGCCCGGCCTCAATGTAATCAGCAAACATTAGCTTCAGTAAGCAGCATCTGTATTTTTCCACACATGATCCCCAATAGTTCCCAATAAATACCCCCCATACTCCCCTTAGAACCCTAAACCCCTAAGCCCATAATCCCGGCATATACGGTCCCCTATGGAGCCCCATTTTGGGAATTCCTCCCTAGGCTACAGGGCTCAGGGGTTTTACAGTTCAAGTGCTGTTTCTGCATCTTTCGTCAAGTCTTAGGGTTTGGGATTTAGGGTTTCCGTCTATCTGTTTGGCCAGCAGTGCATGCTGACATTACCTTGTTTGATGGGCCTTTCGTGTAGTTCGTTTAGGGGTAGGGACTGGGGTTTTCTGGGTTTAGGGTTTAGGATTAATTAGTCCCTAAATAAGCCCTATACCCTTTTTGCATGCTGTTGTGCGCCAGGGGTTGTCAAAACTAAGGTTCTTGGTATCTTGATTTAGGTCACTGCTCTGATTTGATTATTGCATTACCGTATTTTAGTCCCATTCATAAAGACTACAGTTTGGGGGATCTATATATTGGGGTCCCCCTAGTCATGGAAGCTACAATATAGTACCGAGCATCCGCCAAGTGGCATTTGCAATACCGAAAGGGTCCTAAGTACCCATATGGGGGAATCCTTACCCAAACCATAAGGGAAATTACTACTACAGAAACCATACTTTATACCATATAGGTACTTTGGACCCTTTGGGATACAAGCATTGCTGAGTTCGTAGAATGTGAAGGGGTGGGACTTCTACACCAGACTGGGTTCCCAGACCCCTGGGAGGATCTAAAAATTAGATCCCTTATATAGACCCATTATAACCCCTGTATAATCTTTATACAATTCCCCCTATGGTTCTAGGGGATCTAATTTGTAGATCCTTTTGGGGTTCTGGGTTCCACCAAAGTGCCAACCAAAACTTGCTGCTGTCGTCCCCGTTTGGGCTCCCGCGGTGTAGACGTTGCAGGCTTGCATGCCACTGAAGAAGGCCCCTTGTAGGCGGGGCTCATAGTCAGTCCGACTTTTCGCAATGTCAGGTATATGGCAACTCTGGACATCAGTCATTTGAGCCCAGCATACTTCCAGCCCGGGACATGCAGCTCGTGCCCCACAACTCCAAGTCGGAATTCTAGACGCGAAGCTGTAAGAAGCGACGACGGGAACGGGCCTCAGTTTCCTATGGTGTCCCAACGTGCAAACCAGGTATCCGTCCCAGCGTTGATCGGGACCATCTATTAGTTGCATAACAGCAGAGAATAAGCGCTTGTTTCACTCGCAACAATGGCACCGTCCATGGAGGCGGGAGCACAAGCCGATAGCAGTTTGGTTTCAGGGCTTGGGGTATTGAATTCCCAAAGCGCCCATAAACCTCTAGAGTATAAGTATACTTAGACCCCACCAGTATCGCTGTGGGCCCCTCATATATAATAGCTACCTAGATACTTGGAACCGCTGGGAGTTCTAGGGAAGGTGCCTGACCCTAGCTCCGAAAGAGCTGACGTAAATGTCGCCTTCCGACACGCATCCTAGGACTTTCTTCGAGGGGTGGGGTACGGGTTAGGGTTTCAGGTTCAGGGTTTGAGGGTTTAAGTTTCATACGTGAAGGTTGACTGGCAGCTGTATGTGGGTCATAACCAACATTGGGTAAGCCTCCGTATCCCGTAACGTCTGGCCCCCCCACTATGGGAGTCACGGGGGCCTATGTTCGGCGACTCGGGCACCAAAAGCAACACCGAACGGTGAGAATCCCAAGCCCCAGACCCAAAGCCCAAAGATCTGAAGCCTGAGCCCCCCCATTTTTGGTTTAGGGTTTAGGGTTTGGGTTCAGTGTTCGGGGTCCCCAGCAACAGGGTTTCTAAAACCGTTTTCTGATTCTAGTGTTCTGCGTGACTACAGTAGGGTCCTAGAATTTGGAGGTGAGGTTTACCCCCAAAGGGTCCTAAGTACCCATATGGGGAATCATTACCCAAACCATAAGGGAAATTACTACTACAGAAGCCATACTTTGTACCATATAGGTACTTTGGACCCTTTAACCCTGATAAATACATTCCGCATAAATCCCTGGCAACCCCAGCTTTCCATTTTGTTTCTCACGTTCTTTTCCATATGAGCTATAGTCTAAACTCCTTAATGGGGGTTATATAGGGGATTATATATGGGACTACCATAGGCGTTATTAAGGGGGATACTAGGAGTTTAGACAGTAGGTCATGTAGTTTTCTTCCATGACCTGCAGCAAAGCCTCCTAAGCCCCTCCCCGAACAACAGCTCAAAAAACGCCCGGCAGGTTATCAGGTCTAGGATTAATTAGGGCTTGGGGTTTAGGACTTAGGGTTTAGGGTTCAGGATTTAGGGCTCTGTTGGGGAATATCTGGGCCATGGTCTAAACTCCTAGTATCCCCCTTAATAACCCCTAATTTTATTATTAGGTCCCTTTATAATCCGCTATGTAACACCTTTAAGCAGTTTAGATTTTGGCTCATATACGGATTACTATAAGGATATATGCCTTAACCGGAGGAAAGTTGCAGATATGGTCTGAGCCCGCGTCTCCGACGCACTTTAGGGTTTAGGGTTTAGGGTCTATAGGGTTTATAGGATTTAAGGTTTAGGGTTTAGGGCCCTAAACCCTAAACCCTAGTTTAGGAACTAGGGTTTAGGGTTTAGGGTTTAAGGTTTAGCGGAACCCCAGGCTGAACACTGTACTGCTTGAGCCTCCGCATCTCTCCAAGCCAAAGTACTCAAATATTAGGATTTTCAGATCTGCTTAGAGGAATCAGTAGGGATAATAGTAATCATAGCAAGAATAACAGTAATAGTAGTATAAAATAGTACTAATAATAGTAAAACAGTATTAACTGGATAATTGTAATAATAGTATTAAAAATGGGAAGCCCAATATTTAGGTACTTGGACACCCCATGCATGGAACAAGACTTGGAAACTTGAAGTCTTGGCAATCATCAACGGGGCTACGTACACCTGGACCCTTTTTCCTACCCCTTTCATAGGGTACCTGTTCTGGTAAATATAAGCTGTGGGCCATGAAGTGGGTTAGAGGGGTCCAGGCAGCGCGGATGATTACAACTTTATATATACCACTTCACGGGACTGATCTTACGAGTGTATGAAGACTCTACAAGAAGGATCATGTCACTTAGTACCTACTTTTAACGGGCTTACAACCCTACTTATAACCCCTAACTGGACTTAGGTAGGTTCCCCCACCTACGTTACAAGTAGGGTGATATGCCCTGCTATAGGTAGTGAGGCTCGAGCCGTGGAGCTGAAGTGCCAGACCTGAAGCCCTAACCCAGGCCGTAAGCCCCAAACTCTAAACCCCAAATCCCAAATTAGGGTTTAGGATTTTGAGTTTAGAGCTTGCGGTTTAGGGTGTAGGATTTAGGGTTTAGAGTACAGTGGGAGTTTCCCCAGCTCATCCCTGCATGGTCCATAATAGGGGCCTCTATAGTGCCTGTATCCCCTGCATCATCTAAGGCCTCTGGGTTTAGAGTTTAGGGTTTATATTGGCCTTCCCAACACAAGCCCTGTTTCCCTTTCTTGGGGTCCTGGATTCAAAATTCGGCAAAGTAGGTTTGGGGCTTAGGGAGCCCGTGTCAAGGTTCTACTGTGGAGGGAGGAAATTTCGCGCCACTTAGTATCCTCAAGCTACTAAAGGTACCATTGTTGGGTTATATTATAGCCTTAACCTAAACCATATATATATATATATGTTGGCGAATTATAAATTATTTGCAAAGTCACCCTAGAAAACCTCGCACCAGTGTTGCGATAAATCCCCAAGTCATACATGCAAGGACGACTCGGGCGGCAGCCTGTTTGAGGAGAGCCAGCTTCCCTTGAGTAGTAGTTTATGTGGGCTTACGGTCGAGTGTTTAGAGTTTAGGGATATTATTGTACCCGATATAGAGTGAGATTATGTCCTCCTTTTCCCAAAGGGTCCTAAGTACCCATATGGGGAATCCTTACCCAAACCATAAGGGAAATTACTACTACAGAAACCATACTTTGTACCATATAGGTACTTTGGACCCTTTGGGTTTGGGTATAGTCTTTTTTCAAAAGTATAATCTTACTGCCAACTGAAGTCAGCCGAGGTTAAGTGCCTGGCGCTGGTCTTCGTGCCGTCTTAAACCCTCCAATGTAGTTCCTTTTTGGGCTTAGTATGGTTTCTTGGTTAGGATTCTTATTAGGACTACCAAAAAGGTACTACACTGGAGGGTCTAGGTAAACCCAGAGCCTAAGAGACTGGACTGATCGAGGCCTTCGGGCTCAGGGATCGGAACTGTAACGACCGCACTTGACCTGAGCACAAGCTAGCTTTTGTTTAGAGAGTACCTAAAGCCTAAACCCCACACCCTAAACCGAACCGAAAAAGTATTGCCTTTGGGCTGGTTTTAGGGGTTCGGGCTATTGTTTTGCCTACTTGGGGTCCAGGTAGTTGTGAATGTGTTTTCAGACTTCGGAATTCGATATCAGCCGGTTGGTATGTAGGGATGGCTGTGGTGGTCACATTCCTTGGGTTTAGTATTTCCATAAACAAAGTTGCAGCTATTGGAACTCGAAGCCCGACGGTCCAAATCCAGTAAGACTCTCGTCATGCACGTATACGACTGCCCCCGCATGGAGTGTAGGCTTTATGGTTAAAGTTCGGCCCAAGCAATATCTGCAGTATCCCTGGGAACTTGAACCCAAAGCCGTTAAGGAAGAAAACCCTTTCGAACCCGGATAATCCTACATTTGCGGAAGAGCTGCACTACACGACCCCTAGATACCAAAACTCCACGTGCGCACTTATTGTGTACTTGGACCCCATGGGCCCATGGGTGTATAATTCCTTAAACATGAGTTTCCCACCCTAGCGCTAGGGTGGCTTTTGGGGTTCCAGGTGTAAGGTATAGGGTTTCGGGGTGACTTTGCAAAACAGAACCCGTCTTCAACAAGCCCTCCAAGAGGAGGTTCTCAATTTGTTGAACACGTCATCATGCATTAGTCCAGCATGATATACCTTTAGTAACTAAAGATCATTATAGTACAGGATACCCTCAATACCCGACTCTAATTATGAGGGTTCCTCAAGTATTCTTTTCACAAGTCTGTTCAGAACCAAGTCTCAGGAAACGTTTCTCAAGTCTTACACTTCTACCCTAAGAGTCCAAGCCTTTGATAACCAGATACTTACCCAAGACCTGTACCGTAATCACTGTCATCCCAAACCTATGTACCCAATATAATATGTGGACCCCAAGACCCGCAACCTTTTCTATCCCTAAACCCCTAAGCCCAATCTGTTCTGGGCAGCGCAGGACGCCCGGACCTTGTCCCAAATGAAGCGAAGTCGCATCGATCTTACTCGACGGCCGCGCGGCATGACATCATGAGTGCTTACTTATCCCAAGAGTCCATGCAGCTACATAGTATATACAGGGCCTCCAAGTAGTCATGTTGAGAACCTTTTTTGGGCCCAAAGTATATACATACTGTATAGCTACATGGACTCTGCAAGTGACAGGCCTTTGTAGGATATCTGGTGGCTTCATGGGGAATTGCATGGTTCTTTGGTGTTGTGCAACTTGTATTACATCTGCTTAGGGCATCGGACGCTACACCCTGAATCTTAAACCCTCAAACCTAAACTCCTAACCCCCAGAGCCTAAACAATAAACCAACAACCCTGAACCTTGAATCCTCAACCCTAACCCTGAACCTTAATCCCACAACGCTAAGCCCGTTGAGGTTCCCTTAGCTCATCAGGCCTTAAAGATTCAGGGCGGCCGTTGTAATCCGGGTTGAGGCTATAAAACTTTGCCTCAGGGTGGACGGTATGTAGGAGCATACAGGGGTATATAGGATTTAAAATGTTCACGGAATATTGCGGGATATTTTGGGGGTATAGAGGGACATGGGGTTTCGGCTTAGGTTCATGGATAGTTATAAGTTAGGTTAGAGGTCCCATTCACAGGTGGACCCGCTCACCCTAAAGATAAACGATGTCCATCCTACCCCAGCTTAGTGATAGATCCGCCTCGGTGGTTCGATTATGAGGGGGAAGTCTTTATTGTGAGGAATTGCAACGGGGGCCCGACTGGTTTCCACTAGAAGTCCAGGCCCTACATCCCAATCCCTAAACTTTCCAACCCAAACCTTAAGTCCCCAAATCCGTTTAACCCAAGGCCCGGTTAAAAAAAAAGATAACAAACACATCCTCACATCTTCACACCTTACACTCCGGGTCTGATTTTCTGGGCTGTTCTCAAAGTTTTAGGCTTTTGTGTACTACGGCACACAATATTTAGGGGTACCAAAATGGGACCCTGGTTTTGGAAACTACCCAAACCCTAACCCTAAATCCGAAACCCCAAACCCCTACACCTAAACTCTAAAACCTAAATCTTAAGCCCTGAACCCCATATGTACAAGACCGCCTGAGGTACGTCTTTCTGTGTCCGACAGCTCTGAGTAAGCATTTCGAGGCCAGAACCTCTGCAGTAGACGCGATTTAGTCTTCAGGGTTTAGGGCTAAGGGTTTATTACCTTTACTTAGGGTTTAGGGTGGTTGTCATGTTGGTTTGGAATTTCTTGGAAAATTTAACATTTTGAGCCTAAAGAGTTTTTCGAACCCTAAGTAATGATAAATTTATATGGGCTTGAGGGTTTGGGATTTAGGATTTACAAGGTGCAGGGGTGCTGTGGAAGCTTACGAACTCTAAGGCTCTAACGACTCCTATGTTGAGGCTTTTGGGCCCAAAGACCACACCAGAAAAGGCTTTTGGGCAAATTTGAGGCTTACGGGAAGAATGTCAAGTCAAAGATTTTGGGCTAGGTTTTCGGCTTTGGGGTAGAGGGGTTCCCGTCTAGCTTCAAGTTCCCTGAAAACCAAAGCCGAATATGTTTAACCTAAACCACGTTATGTTTAATCGTAAGACTTTGTTAAAAACGTATTGCTTACCAGCTCCCCCTAAGGGTCCAAGTGCCTAATAATCATATACTTACCCAGAACCTGCACTATAACTATTATTACCCAATACCCAAGTACCTAATTATTGGGTACTTGGAACCTTAGGGTCCAGGGAACTTGAAGTGCTGAGTTAATGTCTTTGGGTTCCTGTCCATGTTTAGGGTATCAAGGGCTTATGTTTACTGTTTAGGGTTTAGGGTTTCAAAGGTCTAGGGTTTCAAGGGTTTAGGGTTTAACGGGCTTCAAGAATTTCAAAGACTTCAAAAGTTTCTAGAGATTCAAGGGTTATGATTGCAGGGTCAAACGTTCAGGACTTAGAGCCTGGGTTCGGGCATAAAGGTGTTGACTCCAAGCTCAAACCCTAAGCCCACAAATCCTAAACGCCAAACTCTAAACCCTAAATCCGAAATCCTAAATCCTAGATCCTAAATCCTAAGCCCTAAACCCCATAGAGTTTCGGGTCGAGAGCTTGAGGACATGGCTTCTAGGGTTTCAATTCAGGTGTTGGGCTTGGAGTTGAGATTCAGGATGAAGGGGTTAAGGGTTTATAGGGCTTATACCTAGACCCTAAACCCTCCGCTCTATGGGGCTTGGAGTTTAGGGCTTGTGGTTGGGAGATGCCAAGATTGTGGATCAGACCCTAAACCCTAATCGCTAACTCCTAAACCCTGAATCCTAAATCTTTAAATCCTAAGCCATAATTCCTAAGCTCTAAAACCTAAACCCTGAATCTTAACACCTAAATTCTATTTGGTGGGTCTTTCTGTGCAAAGAGTTGAGCGTTGGTAGCACGACATTCTACTCCCCTCCCCCATTGGCAACCTTTACCTGTTCCTCTCAAATTTTGGGGTTTGGGGTGTCAATACATAGCGGGAGATCAAATGGAACAGAGAACGGGACCTCTTTTTTTTTTTTGTTTTTCGCCCGTTTCGCGCGCCAAAGGGCTGCAGCGGGTATTTGTTCTCGGACCTAAACGCCGGGTCTCGCAATTTCAAACTATGCAGTGGCGGGACATGTCCTGGCATGTTTGCCCAGAACCTTCACACCTTCCTTGCCCCTTTAGTTTCGAGCCTGCGTCCGTGTGCTGTATGTCTGTGTATACACATACCTGTGCATTTGAAAACTGTGGCACGAGAAACAACCGTTGCAACAGCTGTCGTGGAAGGCACAGCTCGTGACGCTAGAAATGGTAGACTATGTGGGACTTCGGAACTTTGGACGGACTGCGCGACTCGGCTACCAAGACCACTCTGCGCTGAACCGGCCTCTATGCCCGGAGCCTAAACCTTAAACGCCTAAACGCTACATAATCCCTAAACCTTAAATACCCAGACCCTCCTGTGTAGTTCCTCTTGTGTAGTATATAATAACCCCTTGTCCAAAAACCATAACAAACCCAAAAAGGAACTACATTGGAGCCCTTGGGTAAGCCCTCAATCCTGAACCCTAAACACTAAACCTTAAATAGTAGCTTCCATTTTCTTTGCCATTATCCCCATATAAATCGTATATAAAACCCTAAACCCTAAACCCTAAACCCCCAAAAATGTGTCTGAGAGGCGCTGCCACTCGCAGCCAAGGAGTCCTCTCTTCTCGTCTTTAGATGTGCCAGAAGCTTCGCCAGCGCCCCAGACAGGGGTTTAGGGCTTAGGGTTTAGGGTTCAGGGTGTGGGGCCTGGGTCTTCGGGTTGTTTAGTGGTCGGGGTTGAAGGTGTTGTTTTAGGAATTGCGGCTCTTGGTAGTTATGTCTTTTTTGTTTAATAGTGTTCATTGATGTTCTTCATGGTTAGTCTTTGGGGTTTAGGTTTCTTTAGGGTTCCACTGTGCAAAGTCTGAGGACCTCCTTCGATGTCTCCCCCAATGGCAGTTTAAATGGGAAGTCGCAATTGTCACTCAAATGCTCACAAAATCTGCAGCGTAGGCTGTAGGTGATTAGGGCTTTTCAACGCAAAGGAGCCCTTAGGGAGTCTAGGTGCATATCGGGATCACAGAGAAATTCTGGGGGTTCAGCGATTTGGGAGAGTCTCAAATGGTGGCACTCTTGCCCAGCCTAGTAGTGTTTGGTCCCACATGTCCTTTTCGGGCCCGAATTTTCCTGGTATTTGTCTTTGGGGTGGTCGTTTCCCTCCGCACTCTCAGATTGCCGACAGCCCCAAGGAAGGGGCGCCCTGTAGGAGGCATCTTCATCATCCCCAGCACTTTCTTGGCACGTGACTCCGTCTGAAAGAAGAGTTACAGGTAGTTAAGTTTGGGACACGATTCTTGAGACTGGACGCTTGTGTCTCCGGAAGGTCCATAATTTCCAATGAAGCCAGATACACCACATGTTTCCTACATGCCGGATACATCCCCTTAAAAAGGGACCTACGGGTCCATCTGCATGATCACCGGTTATTTGATCGACTTCCATCTGAAAGTAAAAACATACTGTTCTGGAAGGGGCCTTACACTTTACCCTTAAACCCTACACTGTAAACCCTTGTGGTAGAGTTGATCCGTATAGCTATCCCTCTAAACTCCGCAATAGGTGACTCTGTAACAGTTGGATAATGTCGATAAGATATTTTTCTTGCCCTTAATATGGCCGCTACTAAAGATTGTTACACGGTGGGCGGCAGTACCCAACCTCGTTACTATCTCTTTTTGAAATTTGCCATAGATGCCCCAGTATGAGTCTAGTACTTACATGCTTGCTCCCCTCCTCCCCTTACGCACCAACAACTAGTCCCTTCCCAGGAATACGAACAGTGGATGTTCCCCATCAGAGCCAATATAGTTGGGTCATACAGAACCTAGAGGGTGCAAGGACCCAAATAATCGGGTTTTGGGGCCCAAATACCATTAACATTATAGTATTTGGGACCTAAAACCCTCTTATTTGGGTCCTTGGAACCCTTAGGGTAAAATTAGCAGGTGGAGGGTGTTTGAGTTCAAGGAAAGGGACTACGCATACTGGGAACACGCTTAAAGCCTGGAAGCGCAACTAGAAATGGTAGCTTCCCTAAATAGGGGACCCCCATGTAGACCCCCAAGTTCTAGAATCCTTATTATAGGACCCCCCCCCAAAGAAAAGGTATCCTTAATCTTGGGAAACACCCACATCATGGCAAGCGCCAGTCTGAGATGAGGTATAGTCCAGACTCCTTCAAAGGGGTTGTATAGGGTGTGCCGTTTAGGGTTTAGGGTCTAGACCCCAAAAAGGGGGGTGATATAGAGATTATGTAGGGGATTAGCATAGGGGTTATGAAGGAGGGATACCAGGAGTTGAGACCATGGCTGAAATGCAGGTTTGGTCATATGCGCTACTTATCACTGAACTTGGGCCACAGAGTGTTTACACTCCGAGGTTCATGTAGACTGCACAGTAGTTTCATAGATCTGTTCCCTAAACCCTAAACTGCGTTTGCTTGCAACAACATGACAGCGGCCTGTGTGACTCCTGGCATACCCACCAGTACTTGAAAATTGGGCTTCCATTCCGTATAAGCAGAATGGCTTGTGATACCCAAAGCCCCTCACAAGTTGGGCATTCGGACTTTAGGTTAACATAAATAGTAGTTTCCATTGTACTTTCCAGTATCCCAATATGGGCCCTATATAATCCCTATGTAATTGTAAACGCTAGCGCGCGCCCGCCTCGGCTGGCGGGGCTTCCCACTGTAGGAACATGTCATTATCGATATACAGGTATTTAAGTTAGGTATATAAATACAGTCATATGCC